AGACCTGAAGTAATAGCCATAAACTGTATCATGGACTCAAATAGTAAAAATTAAGTACACCCAGCACTTATTTAAATATTAATAGCCAAATCCAATAAATATATAGTAGTAAAAATTGAATCATAAATCATACCTTTCACAAGGGTACAAAATGGCGTCTCTCCAAGCGAACACGAGCCAAAAAACTGCCAAGTTGTTCCTGTCCCCAAATCACACACATGAATCCAGGGTTGACTTTAGGGCCTAAATAAATTACTAGATAAAGACTCAAAATCTAATGGTGATAGATATACTTACAGTGAGAGCCGCATAAAAAACCCGAAAACTCGGCGTGGCTTGGCTATTCCACAAAATGCTAATTTTCCACTAAATCCAATTTAGGAAAATACCCCACAAAGTCAAACCACGAGTTAACTGGGGAAAACCAATAAAAACCTCAAATAGTGAGAAGACTCGAAGTCTCAGAAAAAAAATTGGTATCCCCTTACGACTCTACACTGCCGAAAATTTTCGTGTTCGCACTACACAGATTTTTCAAAAAAGAGCCCGTCCAATGCTGGTCAGTAAGAATCAGATAACTTTTTGCGTACGCAGTGTTGCCTTATCAAAAACAGAAAAAGAAACCACTGACGTCACGAATCGGCGGTGGTTACTAAATAACTATCGAATCGGATATTCACCAATATGATTCAAGACCCCTAGAAATACCTAACTATATATTACAAAAGTATTCCTAAATACAATATGTCCTGTATGGAAATAATTTTCCCAAGTCACAAGATACCAAGATATTCGAGCGTAGCCAGTCTAGTACGTTCTAACATCTGTGGCCGAAAATCAATAATCATCGCGCTCTGACCTGCAGTGGGATTCTCATGTTTCGTACTCGAGACGTGTTGTAACGAGAAAGATTTTGCGATTCCTATCTCGGATATCGAGAAGGGATATATATCGATCTTAAATGTCAGTGTCACTCGCTTCATCTTTACGTGCCGAGAATCGATTTTTAACCTGAAATCTTAGGTTTGTTCCCAATCTCAGTTTGGATTGTACGAGAATAGTTTGCAATTGCGCAATAGCATATAAGTGTTCCCAATCACTTGTAGAATAGTACATGCACGATGGGTTGGCTGTTCCCAATAAACACAAACTAGTACATTAATTAGTTTGCGGATGATCAAAACAGTCCTTGCTAAAAAGCATGTACGAAAAGTTAACGCATGCTCAAAACGATCTCCATCTACATTCGGTAAACTTAACCCAACTTTTTATTGATAATTTGGCGTGGCGACTAATAATACTCGTGTAGAGATAATTATTATTATTATTATTGTTGGTATTTTTATAAAAATGAGCGACGAAGACAGTTTTCCGTCAAGTAGTGATTCAAGTGATTACGAAGAAGACGAGTTTTTTGTAATGTATGGAGAGCCCAGAACAAAAAACGAAAACTATTTAGGTAGGCCTTTTATAATTATGTATAATAAATATTTTTATAAATTTTACTGATATTGAAAATATTTTGTGTTAACCTAAAATTTTTTTAGATGAAATTGTACCGAGTTATACGGAGAATGTATTTTTTGAACACTTCAGAGTTAGTCGTGGAGTGGCAATGGACATATCGGACAATTTTAATAATAGTCAATTTTATGGTGCTCATATTGGACACCATGGAAACACGTCAGCCTACCATCAGGTAAAACATATATAATAAATATAATAAAATAATTACCTTCAAATAATTATTCTTTAATTAATTAAGAAATTGTTGTTTGCAGGTTTTAATATTTTTGTGGTTTGCTGGTCACCAAACATCTGGGTTTCGTGATGTTGCTGATAGATTTGACATCTCTATCAGCTCATTACACAGAATTTTAAAGAGAATGACCTATTTTTTAAGCAGTTTGGCTTTTAATATAATTACATGGCCTTCAGAAGAAGAAAAACAAAATATTGAACAATATTTTAGAACTAATGGGTTTCCCAATGTAATTGGTGCTATCGATGGATGTCACATTCAAATCGACAAACCGATGGAAGATCCTGAATCCTATATTAATAGGAAAAAATATTATTCAATACAAGTAAGACATTAAATTTAAAATATTGTCTAACACTGTATTTAATTTTTGTACATTTATTATAGATGCAAGCTGTTTGTGACCATGAATTAAAAATAAGAGATGTGAATATTGGGTACCCAGGATCAGTCCATGACAGCCGAGTTTTTCGAAATTCAACCTTATCCCAAACGTTGGATGAAAAATGTGGAAGGTTTTTTTTGTTGGGTGATTCAGGGTATCCTTTAAAAACTCATTTATTAACGCCTTTTAAAGATAGAGGTCAATTAACTCCGAGGCAGGTGAATTATAATGTTAAATTGGCAAAAAATAGATATGTAATAGAACACTGCTTTGGTGTTTTAAAACAGACATTTAGGCAGCTCTATCATATCAAGTTAAGAAATATAAGATTTATTGTTTATTTTATTAGGGCCATGTGTGTCATTCATAACATAGCTTTATCTGATGAATTTGTTTTAAATAACAATGAAACTGATGTTGATATAAATGTAAATGTTATTGACGATGAAGCTAATGATGAAGAGGAAAATATTGAGCATGATGCAAGAGTTATAAGAGATCAAATTGTAAATACTTTGGAACTTTGATAAAAAAAATATATATTCTTTTTTGATTACTTTTAATTTTTTTAATATACCTTTCTTTAATTTTTTGCCTCTTACAGATTTTTGTATAAGAAAACTAACAGATAATATAAAAATACACTTTATTTGTACATTTAAATAAAGAAAACTAATAACAAATAACACACAAATTCTTCTAAGAATATAATAACACAAAAATTCTTCAACCAAAGAAATCTTCTACCTATAAAAAAATATTTTAATGTATGAAAGCAAATACTTAAAAATGTACCTTAGGCTACAAACACACTCCTTTATTTTCAATCGCATGAATATAGACGAAAGACAATAAAAAAATCAAATAAATCTCAAATCCAACGAGGAAATTTGCAAGACATAAAATCAGAGTCAACTTTGAGAAAAATCCGTTCGGAAGCTCGCAACAAAAGTGTTCGTTATAATTATGATTTATTAGATGCAATTATATATATATATTATAAATAAAGTTTGTTTTCCACTGTTCAAATTACATTTGAACACTCACGCAGCATGCGACAACACAACAATTATCTCATACATAACACCACCTTTACACATAAAAATAAAGTCACACCTCTAACAATCTCACTAGCGAAGCCACGCCTCACGAAATAAAATTAATAAATGTGTAACCAATCAGAAATAAAATACATGACGTAAGCTAACCATTTCCACATCACGGAAGTGCGCTCTAAGTTTTTGTAAAGAGACACAACGAGTTAGTCTGCAGACTCTCCATCGACAAGATGTAAAAAATTGTTTTATATCATAGAACCATGTTTGTTAAAATTGTAGTTTAAGTTAAGTGTTTATAGTTCTTCGGCAGTTTGCCATTATAATATGTAACCCATTTGTTTTGCCTGCATGGCACCATCGTTTAAGCGTGAATAAATACGCATAGAGGAAGAGTGAGTTTTTATTTGTTTCGTCCCACGAGTAAGTAATGGAGGCCCCAGCGAAGTTCTGGGTGGCCTTTAGAGGCGCACTAGTACGTTAGTGTCGGCCACCTCACCTAAATGGTAGTCTGTCTTTCTGAAAAGATCACAGGCCGCCAACATCCACTAAACATAAAAATATTTAGTAATGAGCAACTGAAAATTGCAAAAGATTCGCAAAATGGTTTATTACATTTTGATGCCACAGGAGGAGTAATTCGTGAAAATAAAGGAAAAAGAATATTGTATTATAGTGGCATTATCGACCTTCCTGAAAATACCATGTGTCCCATTTTTGAGATGATAGCCAATGAGCACGATACCACCACAATATTAAACCTTTTCATTAGATTTAAAAAGTTTTGCAAAACTAATCGAGCTTGGCCTATTTTTAATACTTTTGTAACTGATCTAAGTTTTGCTAACATTAATGCTCTTGCAAGGCGTTTAATAATTTAGATCTAAGCGAATATTTAGAAATCTGTTTTGAAGCGTCAAAAACAAATAATAAGCTTTCAACAAAATATGTTAAGTTAGCTCTTTGTTGTGCTCATTTGATGAAAAATATTTCGATACTGGTTAAAGAAAATTTAGATCAATCCGATAAACATATTGCGAACGGAATTAAGTCAATGGTAGATCTAGGTTTTAATGTGAATTCCTTATCTAATGCAGCAGAATAATTTAAGAACTTAACAATTATTTTAAGTTCAAAATATAAAAATGAGTCCGTTGAACAAGCTTTCTCATATTTTGGAAAATCGAATGTTGTAACAATTGAAGAACTAAGTCCCACACAAATCATAAAAGAAGAAGGTGTACAAAAATAAGGTTTCTGACGTAAATTTAGTACTGTAGCATATTATACATTCATTAAAGACCGATACCTGACCTCATCCGAATTTAATTTACTTAGAAATGACAAAAATGAATTAATAAGTATTAAATTATTTAATATTTTGGCTGGCATTATATTTAAAAAGAATTTGATCAATAGCTCTGAAGTGATTATTTGGACTGCTGAAAAATCATTTCTCGAATGGGAAAGGAAAATGGGACTAGGAAAGCTACCAACGTTTAAGAATATTACCTTTATTCCTCTGCTGAGTTTTGGCGAAAAGTGGTTGCTAATTAAAGTCAATCTGCTGACAAAGACATTTATCTTGGTTAATCCATATGGTACCACAGCTGTAGAAAGCCAAGAAAACTTAGTACAATTTATAGTTTTTTTAAAAAATATGACGAAATTAAAAATTATTCCTATAAACATGGAAAAACCATCGATGAATATAATTGGAAAATTAAGTTCATAAAACACCAAAAAAATATTACTCCTTTTCACAGTGGCCTCTTAATTTTAAACTTAACTTAAAAATATGTTATTAAAATATTCAGCTAGCGTCTTGGAATTTTGTACAATTTGTGGAAAATTTGAGGATCCCAAAAATATTATTACCTGGGTGAAATGTGATATTTGCCAAAGATGGATTCACGAGCAATGCGATAGCAGAAAACACGATATATCAGTGCCCATAGAGTCATCAAATGTGTTTTATGTTTGTCCAATATGCTCTATAAATTTCGACGTACATACACATTTAACAAAACCAACAGAAAGTCCAACAAAAATGTTTGGAAACGGCCTCTTCCAAGATATTAATTATTATAGGTATTCTAAAAAAAGTCTTTCCAATTATGTAGTTGCAATATACGATTACACGTACGACTTGACAATAGAAGATTACATGACATTAAATGCTTGTCAGTATATATCTAATACTTTGTTTCATACATGTTCTAACATATTTTTAAATTGTACTAATCGAACAGATATTAAAATTTGGTCTATTTTCAAAACCTGCTTAATGTTTTATAACTTAAAATCTCTTGAATATACTTTTTTTAAAGACGAGTTTTTTCAAGACAAATTATTACATCACGTTAATATTATACCAATTCTGAATAATAGTCACTTTACCCTTATCATCATTGTCTTTAAAAATTTTACTTTTCAATATATAGATCCTATGGGCACCGAATTCAGTATAGTTGCGGACATGTTTAAGAGATTTGCAAAAGAGCTTAACTTTGACACGGCGAATATCAAAATTATTAATGTTGACCATTGCGTACAAAAAGACGGATATAATTGTGGTATATACGTTTTGCATTTTATACAGTGTACAATTAATAATCTTGATTTAACTTCACCAAATAATCCAGATCAAGAAAGGGACCGTTTAAAAAAAATTCTATTAGAAAAATCGAAAGATGTAAAGGAATACTGTTTGAAATGTGGTCGGAAAGTCACAGAGGCCGATAAATGTTTTCAATGTCACAAATGTAAAAAATTTATTGAAAAAGGCTGTCTAATTACTGATATTTGCCCACTCTGTAAAATATACACGGAGAAAAAAGGATAGTAAAAATAATGAGAAATATGATTACTTTAACCATGTTTTCTGGTACTATACGTGACAGCAATATAGTTTTGTTAAATCTACTATATATGCATGGCTAAAATGTATATCTACCATTACCATTCAAATATTGTAAATAAAGTTAACATTAAAATATTTTAATTCTTATTGTCCGAGATATAGTTACCTATAACAATTGTGTATTGTTGTAAATATACTAGTTTAGTACAAATTAAAGTATTAAATTATAAATTAAGGTATCTGGTTTTATATTAGCTACAAATCTTTTTATTACATAGTTATATTCGTAACTATTAACGTTGAGAATATAATTTTGTCCCTATTACCATTTTAGATGTATCCAAATATGAGATAATATTTATGTTTTACCATACAGTATTATGAGTGGAAATAATTCATATGGTATATATAGTTTGTTTTAACATTGATTTTACCATATTGATTATTGAAAATTAAAATACTGTTCTAATAAATAATATTAATTATTATGGTCAATTTAACAAATTCCATTTGCAGTTATTAAACTGGTAAAATAATAAAGGTGAATGTGAGGGTAATATAGAAATAAAATGTATTCAAATTATTATTTTTTTTTTATTAACTAGGTGAAACATTATTTATTCTTCACATTATAAAATTAACTCATTGAAAAATGGCGAAAAATGAACTAATAACTTAAACTAGTCTAAGATATCATATTTTAAGGTTACATAACAACTTTCAAGAATATAGGAAGAGACTACAGGATAAATATAAGATAATTGTTTTTGTGGTATACATGCTAACTGTGTTGAAGGTTGTATTTTGTGACTTTGTAGGTGTTCATTAAAAGACTTTGTTATACATTTTTTAATAATAAAATATACGTTGTTATTAGGTTTTATTAAAATAAATACAATTTTGGTTTTTTTTATGATAAATCTATAAATAAAAAAAAATACATGTTGATACTAAACGTAAGCATTAATAAATAGCTATAGTCGTACTTAAGTGTCCATTTTAAATATAAAATGAGGGATTATAGCTTATACTGGAATGCTGGAGGCTAGTGGTAATTCCCTTCTAAACTAAAAACTGACCAATAATATAAAATAAAAGCCTTTTTTGATTTAACTCGCGCTAGCGGTTACGGTTGCCAAATAAATGACAGCGGTCCTACTGTAATTTGACAGCGGTTGTAACTTGTGACGTAATCTATGACGTTTAATAAAATATAAACCGAATTCAGTTGTTTGCAAATTGGTTGCGTTTTGTGATTTTTTATTGATAGAGATTGTAGAAATTGTTATTGTTAATTGTTATTGTTCATTTTATTTTTGTGTATATTTTACAAGAATATTTTGCAATTTGTAGTATTGGATTTTCTTGAGAAAGATAGATATTTATTTACTGTTAAATTGCAAATATTCTTCACAAAAACTTCTCAGGTTTTGAACAAACTTTATTTTTACGAAAACACAAAGTAGAGATTTTAACTTTGCAATCAGCTTAGTGAATCAATATTAATCATTATGGTTACAAGCAGGGGCGGTTTCTCCATTGGTTCATTTGTGCAGTGAACACCCGATTAAATTTCATAAAAACACATTATTTTATAATTACATAAATAACATAAAAATATAAATTTAATTTAAATATTTTTATTTTCATAGGTGTTAATCTATATTTTTTGGTATATCATTGCCCTCTGGCTGATCGCGTCTCTGTGGCACAGAATACCTAAGTATACTGTGTCTGTGGCGCATTATGATGAGTGAGCCCAACACGAGTGAGACGATTTGGTGAATGCATAAAGTTAAAAAGAGAAAACAACACGCCAACATATCCTTCAAACGTCAAAGGAACACATTAATTGGCGCGCCGCTCACAAACAAGGTTGCCAAACCAGTGTTGCCAGTCTAGTACAATTCACAATTGTACTAGATGTAGTACATTCTGCTTGAAGCAGTGTTCACGTGTAAAATATATTGTGTTCCTTGTTTGGGTTCGATATCTATAAAAATCCCCCTTTTTTTTTCTCTTCAATAAATTAGATGTCACTGCAAATAGAATTCGAAAAATTTGGTACATTAAAGAATCTGGTACATTTTTTAGACAAATCTGGTACATAACAAAAACATATCCTGGCAACACTACCAAATCAAACAAACTGTCATTCCGTCTACCTGGGGTTCGGTTATATAGCGCGAATTTAGAGATGAGTAGTAAATAACGTAAATGTACCTACTTAACACTTCCAGTGTGACACCGGAATAACTTGGAACTTTAGAGACGTTGTAACCGAACTTTGATTTTAGTTCAAGGACGACTCACCCCAACTCCGACTCAGCTGAGTTCTGTTTATAAATATGGACCTGAATATATTTGTATCCTTGTTTATCGATATATAAAAGAAGAAAGTGAGAATACACTCAGTGAGACACGAGATCCCTTTACAAATTATACTTTATATGGATTTGTATGTTCCGTGTACCGAATTTTCGTTGTTTTGAGGTTGGCTGTACTGGTCTTAGGTTCTGTGTGAATTTACTAGTGTTTATGTACGATGGAATCGTATTCGGTGAAATTTATAAAAACAAATAAACATAATTTCAAGAATCGAGTGCTTATAAAAAAGAATGGCCCACCTAGATCGGAGATAAACATTGTTGAATGTGCCATAAGAAATAGAAAGTTTAAACATACTATTAAGATTGAACAATATAAAAAAAACTTCGTGGTTGTGCGGGTGTGATAAACAACATGCTTTGTTTTGTTTTCCTTGTTTAGTTTTTGCAAACAATGAAAATACTAATTCAGAAAGGACAAAAACGGGTGTTAGGGATTTATCTCATTTATCTGATTACATTAGGTAAGCATGTTTTTGCATTATTTCTATAATTTAAACTTGAGAAAGAAACTTTCTTGCACTGTATTAATCGAGGAATTAATATTGTACCCGACATTGTGTAAATTATATTTTTTTTCTTCTATAGAGCACAGAATTAAAAATTGTGAACACCTTTTTTAAATTATAACGAGCCGCCACTGGTTACAAGACAGGACAAAAATGCTAGAAATCAATATCGATCAATGCCCATGTCCAAAAAGGACATTATAATCAACTGAATTCGCCCTCTTTCCGAGAGATTCAACACTATCGTTTAAATTCCTAAAAAGGCAAGGAAAGTACTATTTCTAGCACAAAGTGGCATCTTTACAATTCTGCATCTCACCGCAAGGTGGCACTATAAGTTCTTACCGGCCCCCTTTGAAATATGTTGCACATTTTCAATAATAAAATAGTCGGTCATTGAAAGGGTACAAACTTTAGACACGGCTCTTTTCAGAATGGTTTTTCCCACTTTGACACTAACGACCCGCACAATTCCATCTTTTCCGAGATGAAATTCTGTGATTTTTCAAATGGGTCAATGCAAGGAAAATGCATCATCAATGATTCTTCTACATTACTGTCTCCATATATAGTAACAGGCGATATAATGTTTAGTATTTGGTCTGTCTCTGCAGTAGGTGGCAGTGGAGGACCACCTCCAGTGCCTGCTGAATATTTGTTGCCTTTTGCAGCCTTCGCTTTTGTATTTTTTTTTTATATCAACCCATGTCTAAAATTATAAAAAGATAATAAGTTAATAATTTTCAATGTATTCTTCCTAAAGGTATACACCCCAACATATGTTTATTTTTCCACAATTTTTATAGAATTAAGTAAAAGAAATGAAAAAATAGTTTTTACCTGATTAAAATGTGTTACATATAACATGAATCATTGTTTTATTTGAAACCTAAACAATACTTACTTTTCTCCATTGCTTCCAGTCTTTTGCAGGGCCTTGGGGCACACTATTTAATCAATTTGTTAATTCCTTCCAATGTCCTACCATTTTGTCTCTAATGTAGCTTAGAGTTAATTTTCCCATATACATTTCCTGTCTATCAGAAGTATACTGTATTAGAATTTCGTTTTGCCTACTAGTTATGGGCATACTCTTGTTTCTATCAATTTCCATATTTATGTAAATTCACATACAACGAATAAAATAACTATATGGAATGAACGAAATTTCCAATCAAAAGCCGGGATCAAAAATCAAAACTAAAAAATTTGAGGTTATGTGTTGTTAAGGAATATGGAATGAAAAATCCAATCCACGTGATCACATAAACAGGTAACCAACATTATTTTATGAACAAAAAAATCGTTTTGATTGGTTACACATCTTGGCAACATTGTTGAGTGTTCCCTGTCGAATAGCTCTACTGTTTCTCCCTCCTTTTCATTCAAGAATAAGACATTTTCTTTAGAAAACAAGGGAGTAGAACGTGAGTTGGGGAGAGCTCTCTGGGGAGTGTTCTATTCTTTTACGCTCAAGAATAGGGCCACTGGAATCGATCACATGAACGATCGCTGTTGCTAAAAGAGCTTGCGCTGAACCGATTTCGTCACCAACGGCTGTTCCGCACGTGATCTTGTTCGACGTTTGAAAATTGACGCATAATTTAAATTTAAATCTGCCTTTTCAGTTTGAGATACTTCGAATACGAGAGCTGCAACCGAACTATTTTAGCACAGATAGAATCCAACTTACGTTGTATATACATGTCAAATTTATTCATTATAATAGGAATTAAGAGTATGTCCCAGCATTTTGTGGGCTCTCCAAGTAAATTATACCTTAAATTATTATTTACGTCATTATGAATCTTTTTTTGAGTCTATTGAAGACGACTTTGTTAATTTTGGAATATCTAAAATTGTTCTGACATGATAATTTGTAATATTAATTGACTGATCATATTCTTGTAATAATACTTGTCAAGCAATTCGATAATTGTTTTGTGATACTGGAAGTGATTAAATTATTTCAAACGCTTCGTTGTTTTAATTTTTTTTTAATGGTAGAAATTAATTGATTTGCATCAATTATTGATAAAAAACCATTGCGAAATTCGATTCATCTGCTGGGTTCTCCGATAAATAT